AATTAAAAAAACGAAGAACATAAAAAACCACAGCACAGGTTGTCGGTTGTGAAGATTAAAACTTTATTCAATAATGAATTATTTAAGCGTTTATCAATATCCATATCAAAAAATAATAATAAGAGGATGTTTAATTATTGAAGATTGTGGCCGAAACGTTTAATCGCTTATTTTTTTATATCGGTATTGATAAATAATTCATTATTGAATAAAGTTTTAATCTTCACAACCGACAATCTGTGCTGTGGTTTTTTATGTTCTTCGTTTTTTTAATTTTTAAAATTATAACCACTTTTATTTAAGACATTTTTAATTTTAATATATTTTTTCATAACTTTAAAATTGTAATTATAATAATATATACAAATTTTTTATTGACATGCATATATACAGGGTATCCTATATTTCATCCGACAACGCTTATGGACAAATAGAGCGGACTAAACTGGATTAAAAAACTCTCTATCATTTTGCAATTTTCGCAATAGTTAACAAGATATTAATTACTAAAAGTTATCGAATATTGATTTTCAATAATTTCTTTCTCAAGTACTATCAACTTTATAGAAAAACAGCAAGAGATAAAAATTGTTTATTTTTTTTCATAAAATTTTAAGAATTTTTTCAAAATTTTTTATCAACTTTTTAGTACTGTATTTTCTTATTTTTATCAACATGAGAAAATACGGTATTAAAAAATTCTGAAAAAATTCTCAGAACTTTATGAGAAGAAAATAAATAATTTTTGCCTCTTGCTGTTTTTCTATAAAGTTGATATTTGAATAAAAAATTATTGAAAACCAATATTTAATGATTGTTAATAAAAAATATCTTGTTAACTATTGCGAAAATTGCAAAATGGTAAAGAACTTCTCGACTCAGTTTAGTCTGCTTTACCTGCTCACGAGTGTTGTCGGATGAATTATACACCCTATATATATCTCATTCAAATTATTGTTAAATATTTGCTAGGAATCGTTTATCGTACTAAAGAAAAATCTCGTGTGTTCATTAGGGTGGCTTTTATTTACGCTTTCTGAAAATTTTTTCGAAATCTTTCTTCGCGCTACTCCCCAGTTTGGTTCCATTTTATGAAAAAATTTACATAAATTTTTTTTTCATAAAATGAAACCAAAACGGGAGGGTAGCGCGAAAATTCAAACTTTGAAAATAAGAGCCACCCTAGTGTTCTTGTCATATGAAGAGGATATATTTTTATTAAAGGGATATCAAAATTTTACTCTTCGCAATTTGTAAGATGGTTCAATATATACAAGCGCGCCATATCACATTTGCTCATGTTTTTTTGCCGGAGGGGAGAAAGTTATGTACATCTTTTTTTTCCAATTGTGAAATTCATTTTATTCTTCTTTATGGATACGTTGAATTTTTGATATTCCTTCCTCAAACATGCTATAAACAACGATATCTTCCATCAACCTAAACCTTTGAACGATCCATACATTGAACGGTCAGTGCTTCTTCTATGTAGCAAAGACAACTATATACGATAGTTTTATTTTCGTCAACGGTATAAAAAAGCGCGCAAAGCGAAAGAACAAAATTGTGAAAAATTGTGCCGATCTTGCCACATACCTACTAATTTTTACATTTTTGTTTATTTTTCGGCTTCCATCTTTCGCAAAGCGATTATTTTTGACGCAGTCATAATCGAATTTTTCATCGTAAAGGGGAATATTTTATTTCATGCTATTACTTTTAAACTATTATTCTTATTGCGTAGTAACATTATTTTTGAGGGCATAAGCTTTGTAATCATATTATCCCTTTTTGCTGCCTCGGAAATCGACCGCGACTTAGATAAAGATCTACCCTCATACATTTTCTCCTGATAAAAACTTAAGATAGGAACTTCGTAATTATATGATCATAAATGCAATTCTTTAAATTGTCCACGCAGATAGATGGAAGTTAATTAACTGAGAATAGTCATTTGGAGTATTTTTACACTCCAACGCAATGGTGAAAAAATGTGAATT